CATCTTAGCTGTAGAGAGTGCAGTCTCACTGGCCCTCATGTGGGATCCGAACCGGGGCCCTGCTGCTCAGAGCTGGCGCCCCAAGCCAGCTCTTAACCAACGTGCCACTCGGCCGGCCCTAAAAAGATTTTTTCAAAAAATCTTATCTTAACCTGGTTTCAGCATTTTATTCTTTTCTTTCATAATTGAAAGTAATCAGCTACTATAAGTCTGGTGCACATTAGGTAAATCCAAGATAATTACCCTTTTGGGCAATTATTTACCTCAAGTTTCATCCTTCTTTTAGTTTTCTTAACTGTGGGGACTGTGTTTTGTTTTGTTTTGTTGTAAGTTGTAATGTTTTCACTCTTTAGTTTTCTATTAATTTTTATAAAAGACAAATTGTAATAAAGTGGTTTTCAGACTGTTTTTTAAAGCAGTAGACTTCTTTTTAAAATGAAATCTTACTTGGATGCCTTATACATAAAACAACTTTCTTGGACCTGTAGACCTCAGAGTATAATTTAAAAATCAGTGTAATAAAATCTTTAGAAGTAAATACTGACAAAGATGGTGCTGCTGCTAAAATTAAACTTCTGATAAGCAGGCAGTATCATCATACCGTCATCTGTAGCTAGAAATGTTTATTACTGCTAATGTATAAATACCAAATTTAATGTAGGAAAAGCATTCAGGGATGTTTGTACCAAAATGTTGTTTGCTTAAGAAATTAATATAGAGAATTATGTGTTTAACCAACTACCAGATTATGTTACAACCTAAATGCTATTATTAGTAAGGGGAACAATCACCATTGGTTGACTACTGTTAATAAAGGTTTTAGAGAATAGTTGGGACTTATGATCATTTGATTTTATTTTTAAAAGTTTGTTATTTAAAAATAACCATAATAATTCTGTTACATGTTTACATAAGTAACATGTTTTTATGGAAAATAACTATTTTCTAAAAAAGTATTTAGTGAGAAGAATGACATTATTTTATATTTTTACAAATCTCTAATGTTTGCTTACATAGAAGTTGGCAGAATTCTCACATCTGCTTCTTCACTTGCTCTGTTGTGATATCGTAGGTCATACAGCCTCAGGGAGAACTCCTCTATAAACTTATGAGATAATGAGACTAAAAAGGCAAGTACCATCTTGGTATGATAAAGAAAATAGGTGTGACCGTAGTCTCCGAAAGGGCTCAGTTCCACAGGCATACTTTGCAGACCGCTGCTATCCACCATTCCTGAGCTGTGAAATCCCTGGGATGTTGCACATGTTCCATCAACTCTCTCTCTTTGCTTTGTTGCAGAGTCCTTTGGGCAGAATTATCCAGAGGTAAGAGGATAGTATTGTGATTTTAGGAACATGGTCAGTCACTAGCTTTTGTGTTAGAGGGAAAATCAATTTTGATCCTTTTTTTTTTTTTGACAACAGAAGCATTAAATATGATGATACATCTTTTGCTATAATATGGAAATAAATGTTTAATTTTGAGCAGGGAGGAAATAGATAGGCAATATTGGCTGGAAATCCCACCATAATATTTTATATCTTATAAGGTTCATTTCCCTTTAAATTAAAAAAAGACTTTGAAGGATCGCAAACAGTACCATCAACTGTACATAGATTCTTTTTTGTGGGTGCTTTTCTAGTTTTGATCAATGTTTTTAGATAGTAATAATATATATAAGTATGCTTTATATTTTTAAATGTAAACATATTTTGTAATACTTGGAATATGTTTCAGTGTAGTCATTATAGTTATTTTAAATGGCTTGATATTAATATAAAATAATTCATTTGACTTTCCCAATGTTACACATTTAGGCTGTTCCAGGGTTTTTGTTTTAAATTATTTTTCTTGGGATAAATTTCCAAAATTATGATTACTGGGTAAATAGGATGACTCTTTTAATGAATCTTGTTACATTTTGTCTTAATTGCGCTTGAGAGTGTATGTACAAAGTTATAGTGGTAATATGAGGGATTGACCACATCTGTTTCTAGAAATTCTATATTTTTATAAATATTCCTTCATTTTGTCTAGTTTAATAGGTGTAAGAACACACACAGAGATCGTTTTGGTCTTCATAATTGAAATTCAAGAGAAGTGTCATAGATAATAGAGAACCTTTAAAAAATAATTTGAATACTTGGGTATTATTGTCTATATTCTTGTGTTTGTTTTAATTTTTAGGAAGCTGATGGAACGTTGGATTGTATTAGCATGGCCCTGACTTGCACCTTTAACAGGTGGGGCACGCTGCTTGCAGTTGGCTGTAATGATGGCCGAATTGTCATCTGGGATTTCTTGACAAGAGGCATTGCTAAAATAATCAGTGCACACATCCATCCAGTCTGTTCTTTATGGTAAGGAATTTTAATATTAATATGTTTAATATGAGTTAAATTGGGATGAATGGTGATTGTGTAATTGCCAGTCTCATTGTCGGTGTTTTAATATTTAGAGTTAGAAGTATTCAACCATTAGTAATATAGTTGCTCATAGTTTATGTAGACCTTGAACCCATGCTGTGCCTGAAGCTGCTTGGTGATGAGAAATTCAGTGTGTGCTCTGGATCTGGGTCAGGCTCTGAGAATGTTTCAATACTGAAAAACGATATTTATACATTGTAGCCATAGTGATATTTGTGATAATGACCTTTCATTTAAAATAAAAAAATCTTTGTTAGGAGAGAAGCTTGAAAATCATCTCGTCCAGCCTTGTCCAGGTTCTTGCATTCCATCACTTTTAGCGATCGCAAGCATGTCCATTCCTTCACTGAACTGTAGTTACTAAGGCTTTCTATCAAATATGCACATGTTGATCTGAACTCTGGTTATGTATCTAGTCCCATCGATTCCTTTCTTACTTGCTGAGACTGTATTTACTTCAGAAAATTTTATTTTGGGGCAGCACTTTTTTTAAATGAACTTGGGGCCCAAAAAAGCACCTAATCAGATCTAGATTTTTTAAACTGTAACATACTATATTTATTTTTGTCTAGATAGAAGCATCTGCCGTATTATAAAGTACTGGATTGGAAAGAGGCCTGAATTCCAGTCTACGTTTGGCCATTAATGAATTGGTAGCTTTGGCCAAAACCTTTCTCTAATATGCAGAATTAGAGCACCAACCTGGATGATCTCTTAGGTCCCTTCTAGCTCCTTTGCATTTAGTTTCTTTTTTGTTATGCTTTTGCAATAAAGATTTAAACAGATACATATATTTTTAGCAGCTTTATTAAGATACATATAATTCACATACTATAAAGTTCACCCAGCTAAAGTGTACAATTCGCTGGTGTTTATACATTCACAGAGTTGTATAGCTGTCATCACAATCTAATTTTGGAACTCCTACCTATTAAAATATGCATATATTTTTATTATAAAATAGTGTATAATCATTTACAAAATTATGGAAAATACAGGATAGTAGAAAAAACTAGTACCTCCCATAGTTCCATTACCTAGATATTACTACTATGAAAATTTTGATGTTTCTATATATTAAAAAGCAGAGTTTGTAATTGAGCTGTATTCTATTTTATTTTTTCTCCTGAACACTGACCAGACATTTTCCTGCTTGCATAGGCTTTAAAAACTTTTTTATGGCTATATATCTTGTGACAGATAAATCACAATTTACTTAACCATTTTCGTTTTGTTTCTCTGCTACATAATGTTTAGTGAATGCCTTTGTGCATAAAGGTTTTCTTTTATGTATTCATTCATTCATTCATTCATTCAAACATTGTATATGAATTACGTCTCGGGTACTGTAGGCATTGGGCACACACACAAAAAACCAAGGAGAGGTTCTTGATTAGAAGGAGGAGGTGAAGGCCGGCTGAGTGGCTCAGTTGGTTAAGAGTGTGAGCTCTGAGCAACAGGGTTGCTGGTTTGATTCCTACATGGGCCAGTGAGCTGCGCTCGAATGGAGCTGCTGCTGAGCTGCCATCGGGCAGCCGGATGGTTCATTGGTTAGAGCATACGCTCTTAGCAACAAGGTTTCTGGTTCAACTCCCACATGGGATGGTGGGCTATGCCCACCTGCAACTAAGATTGAACACAGCACCTTGAGCGTGGCTGGATGGTGACTGGACTTGGAGCTGAGCTAGCTGCACCCTTCACAACTAAGATTGAAGAACAACAACTTGGCTGTTCATCTTCCCCAATTCCTTAACACTGTTCCCGTTCCCCAATAAAATCTTTAAAAAAAAGAAGGAGGAGGTGTATGTGCATACAGGTGCATGTACTAAAGCTTCATAGGTCCTGTACAAGAACTATATTTGAGATTTAGTGGAATGTATATATGGGGGGCGCCAAAAAATGTACACAAGTGGACACTTTGATCAGCGTTGCTCAAGCAGTAGTTCGCCATAATCAGAAGTGTCTGGACGCTGATGGTAACCACTTTGAGCACCTCTTGTAATTGCAGAAGTCAAACGTGACTTGTATTCATCTTTTGTTATCAGTGTATATGAGTATTAAAATTTTAATACAGTTTTTTTCCTTTCTTAAAATGTGTATACATTTTTTGGGTTCTCTCTCTATATATGATGCATAGTATATATGTATCATAATTATTTAACTGTCCCCTAATTTATGGTATATATAAGTATAGTTATTCATTATAATTATCAATAGTAGTTACATGCATTTTGTGGGTTTTTAAAAATTCAGCCTTAGAATATAACTTTATGTATTATTTTATTTGTTGTGTAATATTTGAACATATTTGAACATAAAGTTTCACCAACAGAAGATTTGGGTAGGCGTGATAGCTATCTTAACTATTAAAGAGCTAACATGTACAAGACAGAAAACTTGGCCCAAGAAGTAGAAGCAGGACTAGTAGGTAATGGGGGAACAGATGTTAGCTTAGTATAGAGAAGAGCTCCTAAGCAAAGGTGCTCAGGGATGGGATGGAGTGCTCAGGAAAGAATTGATCAGTGGTGCTGTCCCTGCTTGCTACACTCTTCTTGCGGATGCTGCAGAAGAAATTCAACACTGGATGGAGGCCAGAGGTAGAACTAAACGATCTTTAAGATTCTAAGACATAAGTAAAGACCCATCTGTCTTTTGGAAAAAAATAAAATTGTCAGATGTAAGAAAGTATGATAATATCTAGTTCTTGAGCTTATGGAATTTAGAATTCTCCACAACCTAGTTGTGGAGAGAATGTCGTTTCACTGGTCCCTGTTGGTGTTATCATTGTGCTCTTCCCGGGTGAGGCAGTTCCTCCCTGGCCATTGGACAGCTGCTCACGAAAGCTCACTGCTGCTGCTGGCCAGCCCCACTGCAGCTTACGCCATAGCCGGCGACCCATGGCAGCCCAGCTCTAGGTCGAGCTGTTGTTCACCATCTTAGCTGTAGAGGGTGCAGTGTCACTGGCCCCCATGTGGGATCCAAAGCGGCGGCCTTGGTGCTCAGAGCTCGTGCTCCCAAGCCAGCTCTTTTTTTTTTTATTGGGGAATTGGGGGGATGGGAACAGTGCTGGGGAATTGGGGGAAGGGGAACAGACAAGTTGCTGTCATTTTGTTCTTCAGTCTAGTTGTGGAGGACGTTGCTTCACTGGCCCAAGTTGGCACCATCATTGCGCTCTTCTCTGGCGAGGCAGATCAGTCGCCGGCTTCTGGACGGCCGCTCACTGCGGCTGCTGGCCGCTCACGCTGGCTGCTGGCTACATACGGTAGCCCATGGCAACCCACTGCCGCAGGGAGTGCAGCCTACGCCGTCGCCGGCGACTCATGGCAGCCCAGCTCCAGGTTGAGCTGTTGTTCAGCATCTTAGCTGTGGAGGGCAGTGTCACTGGCCCTCATATGTGGGATCCGAACCGGGGCCCTCTAGCATCCCAAGCGAGTTCTTAACCATCGCGCCACTCGGCTGGCCCCCAAGCCAGCTCTTAACCAACTGAGCCACTCGGGTGGCGCTCAGTTCTTCTTTGTAGCTTCTATTTCTTTGCTTTGACTTCCTGGTTTTTTCTTTTTCTTTTTTTTTATTATTAAAATTTATTGGGTGACAATGGTCAGACTTTCTGGTTTTTTCCTTTGTTTCAAGCATGTTTGCAATTGCTCGTTGAAACATTTTTACAATGACTGCATTAAAATTCTTGTCAGATAATTCTAACATCTTTGTTATCTCTGTTAGTATCTGTTGATTGTCTTTTCTTATTCAAGTTATTTTCTTTTTCCTTGGGTTGATAGTGATTTGCAGTTGAAACTTGGACATTTTGGATATTGTAAGACTGTAGAGTTTATTTAAATCTTCCGTTTTAGCAGGCCTCCTTCTGATACTGTACTAGGGAGAAGGGAGGATGCCATCTTGTTGCCATGGGTTAGAAGTCCAAGTTTCTAATTTGGCTTTGTTGGGTTGGAAGTTCAGGCTCCCCACTAGGCCTCCTAGGCTGACACCATCCTGGGGCGGAAGGCTAGGAGTGCCTTGTTCTTGCGCCCCATGTGGCCTCCACTAATACTGTGGTGGGGTCCTCATTAACCACCTGGTGGTTATGAAAGTCTGGCTCCCCACTGAGCTTTCTCTGACACCAATTAGGAGGGAAGGGTGCCTTGCTATGACTGGGCAAGAGTGAAAGTCTAGACTATTTAAACCTTGTTGACTGGGATGGAGGTGGGGTTGCAGTTTTTTTCTGTGGTGGTTGCTGGAGTAGAGTGATTATTGCCTAAATGTTTTCAGACTGTCTGGTTTGTCCTTTCTGGCTCCTTCGGCCAGAGAAAGCAGGCTCTTCTTGAGGCTTTTCGTGTGTGTGTCCATTGGTGTTACCGTGTTGTTGGCTTCTTCGTCACCTGGTCTGGGACATAGGAAGCAAAAAGAACATCCAAGGAACTCACTCTTACGTCATTTCTCCTATCCAGCAGTCTCTAGCCAGTTGTCTTTTCTCTGCCTTTCAGTCTTTTTGTGTTTGTTTTATATATAATGTCCAGGATGCTTAGCTGTACTTAGCAGGAGGAATTAATTCCTTTCTTAATTCATTTAAATTAACAGATTTGGATCTTTATTGTTTTATTTATGCTGTGAAGGTGCTAGCTACTTCAGGGACAACTTCAGAAAGTTGAGATACTCCTTCCCCGCCCCCTAGGAAAAAAACCTGTTCTTTGTTACATCAACACTTAAGGGACCATTGATTGTAGACTCTTCTAAAATGTTTTGAGTCTGTTCTTTCACAGAGCCATTTGTAGTGTTATCTTGAACTATTAAGAGCTTCTGTTACTAGATATGAAAATACGAAAACATTCTTATTGCTTAGGTGGGAAAGCTTGTTGTGGATTTGAGTTTATGTTAAAAAAAAAAAAAAGAAATATGTTGACCCAAGCAATTAGGGCAGTATGTGTGACTCATGTATTTTTGTCCATAAGAGCAATATGATATCTTTACCTTAGAATATTTGCTAAGTTACCCTCTTTTTCTTTTCAGCTGGAGTCGAGATGGTCATAAGCTTGTGAGCGCTTCCACTGATAACATAGTGTCACAGTGGGATGTTCTTTCAGGCGACTGTGACCAGAGGTTTCGATTCCCTTCACCCATCTTAAAAGTCCAGTATCATCCACGAGATCAGTATGTTTAATCTAATCTGAGCTATTATTTCCTGGGGTGGGGTCTAATTTTATATGGGTTAGCTCCAGGCTCATGACAGTTTCTGAGGTTTTTGGAGGCAAATGCACACATCTCTCTAAATCTTCCACTTCGTAGGTTGCCTCTACTATAAGATTTTAAGGACAGTGTTATTGTATTATATAATTAAAAACTGGCTAAAATTTAGACTTTGGAACTGGGCAAAAGTAGGAATAAATATAATGACTAATCCTTGATCTGGGGCTTTCCCTCCTGATTATTTCAATTTCTTTAGTAGAGGGGAAGTCATTCAGTATTAAAACTGCTTTTAAGAGAAAGAGCTACCCATCATTCTATTCCCCAGACATAACTAATGTCTGCATTTCTCTGGGTTCTCTGTTAGTCAAGTTCTCTTTATGTATAAAGTTGTTATGTAGTGCTTTATAGATCACAAAGCACAAATATGCATGTTACGCATACATATATATGTATTTTTTACATGGTTTTAATCAGTATTATGCTTTTTTATGTTATTTCATACATATTTTACTGGTTTGCTACATCTTTATTTTTAATGATTACATTTTATTTGTCAAGGTAGGACCCCTTAACTTTACTCAGTTATTTCTCTATTATTAGACATTTAGATTTTTAGGCTTTTCACTATTTTTGCTTGGGCTGGAAGAGTTGATGAGGATAGTGGCTAGAGATCAGGGAAAACGGCAAGAAAATCAGCCTTCTGATACCAAAGCAACAGCCAATGTACTGTTCATATTTTTAAACAGGAACAAGGTTCTCGTGTGTCCCATGAAATCTGCTCCTGTCATGTTGACCCTTTCAGATTCCAAACATGTTGTTCTGCCAGTAGACGATGACTCCGACTTGAACGTGGTTGCATCTTTTGATAGACGAGGGGAATATATCTATACAGGAAATGCAAAAGGCAAGGTAAGCCTGGAAGCTGGTGAAATAAGCCTTGGTCAGCCTTGCACTGGCTCCTTTCATGTGTACTTGCACTCCTTTCTTTGAAATTTCTTTTACCCCTACACTAAGCATACCTCCAACCTGTGGCAAATGCAGCCTGTGTTTCTCTTACGCTTAATAATAATTTCTGTTTTTTGGATTTAGGGTGATCAGAGATTATGTGGCTTAGAAAAAGATGGAAGGGCTTTTACTGGATACTACTAATGAAGAGCCATTACTAAATTATAAAATTCAAAAGTTATATTATAAAATGGAATACTGCTGATGAAAATACCTAGTTCTGTAAATATTGTATAATTCAGGCCAGCTTAGTCTATAGTATTGTGGAGTAAGAAGTCAAGTTAGGTGAGCTTTAAGGTCCCTTTTAAGCTTAGAGTTTGTAGTTCTAATAGGCACCTTGATTTTTTTTTTTTGACTGGGGCACATGGGCTAGTATAATTTCATGGCTACTTTAGAAAGTGCCAATTTTTCTAAATTGGGTAAACAGCATATACAATGCAACATAAAATTTACCACATTAACAATTAAGTGTACAGTTCAGTGGCACTAAGTGTATTTGGTGTTATACAAATCACTACCATGTATCTCTAGAATTCTACATCTTGCAGAACTGAAACTGTACTCATTAAACAATAACGCCCTATTCCTTCCTTCCCCTCAGCCCCTGGCAGCCATCCTGTCTCTAAGTTTGGCTACTCTAGGTTCCTCATATAAGTGGACTCACACAGTATTTGTCTTTTCCTATCTGGCTTGTTTCACTCAGCATAATGTCCTTACGATTCATCCATGCTCAGCATGTGCCAGAATTTTCCTCCTTTTCAAGGCTAAAGAATATTCCATTTTATGTATATACTACATTTTGTTCACTCATCTGTTGATGAAAACTTGGGTTGCTTCCACTTTTTGATTATTGTGAATAACACTAAGCGTTATATTTTAAGAATAGATTAAGACACTGTTATTTGAAGAGGTAAAAGGCAATACCAGTTAATCAGGTTGAATACATGGGAGTAGAGATGTTTATATTTTTACCCAGCCTCTGCCTGCTTTTAGAAACAAGCCAGATCTAATTACTATAAGTTATCAGAATACTTACTTTTTTTCTCTCTTTTAAACTTCAGATTTTGGTCCTAAAAACAGATTCTCAGGATCTTGTTGCTTCCTTTAGAGTAACAACTGGAACAAGCAATACCACCGCCATTAAGTCAATAGAATTTGCCCGGAAGGGGAGGTGAGACCTTTTCTTTTTAGGGACAGTTAAAATTAGTAGAACATAAAAATAAATTGAGATTCACAGTTTTTGTGTATATTCTACTTAAATTTTTAAAAAAGTTTATTTAAAAAATAGTTATTGGAAACTGTCAATATCTGGTTCTTAAGTTCATAAAATTTACTACGCTAAACCAGCATTCACATCTTCTTTATCTGGAGGTTATCAGGCAGTTCCTTTACAGAAAGGATATCAGAGAGGTAGGTATGTGCTTAGAACTAAAATGCCTGGCACGTGGTTAACACCAGGTAAAGATTAGCTATTATAATCAGAATTGATGTTACAGAATTCACATAGTAACTGAACATACATTGGGTTGTTGGAAAAGTCATGACGCATGTTTGCAACAGATGGCACTAATTCGTTTTTAGAAGTACTAGAGTCATTTGCATCTATTCTGTGTCATTTGACAGCTGACAGTTCTAGCTTCATTCTAAAAAAAAATTGAGCAATTTGGTTGAGTTTTGGAGATTTTGCAACAAGTTGAAGATGGAAGACCAAACTGCATTTTTGCCATATTTTACTGTTTTACTTCCATAAAGGGAAGAAAGTGCGTCAAGCTTGTGAAAAGTTGCATCAAGTTTACGGTGACAATGCTCTACAAGAACGTCAGTGCCAACGATGGTTCATGAAATTCCGTGCTGGTGATTTTGATCTCAATGATGCTCCTCGGTCAGGGAGGCCCACTGAGGTTGATGACGACAAAGGCATTGATCGAGTCAAACCCACGTTACACGACACGAGAGATTGCAGAAACATTGAACATCCATCATTCAAGCGCTCATGACCACCTGAAGAAGCTGGGATATATAAGCAAGCTCGATATTTGGGTTCTGCATGAACTCAAAGAAGTTCATTTGACGGCACGTCTAAACATCTGCAATATGCTCATTAAACATGAGGAAAACGATCCTTTTTTGAAGCGACTGAGAACTGGTGATGAGAAGTGGATTGTTTACAACCATATGGTGCGCACATGGTCTTGGTTGTGACGTGATGATTCACTTCAAATGACATCGAAAGCAGACATCAGAGGAAGGTTATGCTGTCAGTGTGCTGGGATTTTAAAGGTGTCATGTTTTTCGAGCTCCTACCAAGGAACCAAACAATCTATGTGAATGTGTACTGTTTGACAATTGGACAGTTTGAACGAATCCATCATCCAGAAACGTCCAGAGCTTGTTAATTGTAAAGGAGTTGTGTTCCATTGCAACAACGCGAGACCATACACAAGTTTGATCACCCATCAAAAATTATTGGAGCTTGGATGGGATGTGTTGCCACACCCACCATACTTGCCTGACCTTGTGCCATCAGACTTTCACTTGTTTCGCTGTCTTCAAAACTCCTTGCGTGGTATAACGTTCAATTCAGATGAGGCTGTAAATCACCTTGTTCAGTTTTTCGCAAATAAAGACAGGTCCTTCTATGAAGGAGGAATTCTGAAGCTCACTGAAAGATGGCAAAAGGTTATCGAACAAAAAGGGCAATATATCATTGATTGATCTTTGTTCTTTATATAAATAAATGACCTTTGAAAAACATAGACAAAATACGTCATGACTTTCCCGACAACCCAATATTTTACTCACATAAAGCCTATTTAGCCTTTTATTTTCAGATGTTTTCCTGTTGGTTACGCAGCTAGAAGTACAATAGATACATCAACAGAAACATGAGGAGAGAGGTTGTTAATAAGAGAGGTAACAGTCACCCTGTTTTGGATAGGAACACCCATACACGCTTAGGGGACATTCACATTCAAAATTCTCTTTAATTAAAAAATGTTTTGGGCCAGACGAGTGGTGCGTTGGTTAAGAGTTGGCTTGGGAGCACAAGCTCTGAGCAGCAGGGTCCCCGGTTCATATCCCACATGGGCCAGTGACGCTGCTTCCTCTACAGCTAAGATGCTGAACAACAGCTCAACCTGAAGCTGGGCTGTGGTGAGTCGCCGGCGACGGCGAGGCTGCAGTGGGCTGCTGTAAGTTACGGTGAGTGGCTGGCAGCGAGCATGAGTGGCCGTCCAATAGCCGGCGACTGATCTGCCTCAGCTGGGAAGAGCGCAGTGATCACAATACCAACATGGGCCAGTGAAGCGAAGTCCTCCACAACTAGACCGAAGAACCAAAGGACAGCAACTTGTCTGTTCCCCTTCCCCGATTCCCCAACTCTGTTCCCTCCCCCATTCCCCAATAAAGTCTTTAAAAAAAAAAAGAAAAGTTTCGTCAGTGAAGTCTGGAGGAAGGTGATGAAATAACTTATTTTAGACAGATTTCCAATGTAATTATAGTAAAAAGTTGAACATTTTAAAATGAAATAGTTTATGAACTCATTAAGAAGAATATATTATGTATAAAATAGGCCAGAGAAATGAAGTATTTACATACGTATAACTGAATGCTTATGAATTAAGCTGATTTCAGTTTTAAAGACTTGGATCTCAGTCAAATACTGACGATCAGTTTGTTAGTTTGCACATACAGAGTTCAAGGATACACAGGAAATATAAAATACATTCTCACTTCATACTAAATTTTGGTTTGGAATGTGACAAGTGGACACATAAGTATTTGAACCTATTACTTAGATCTTTATTCAGCCTCTCCCCAGTTTATTAGCTGTTTTATGATACTGTTCTGAGTAACAGGTAGTAATAGAAAATGTTAATGGAAACAGATTTCTGACCTCTGGTGTTGATATCTTTGTCCTTTCTGTAGTTGCTTTTTAATTAACACAGCAGATCGAATAATCAGAGTTTATGATGGCCGAGAAATCTTAACCTGTGGAAGAGATGGAGAGCCTGAACCCATGCAGAAATTACAGGACTTAGTAAATAGGTGTGTATCACAACCTAGAAGAATACGTGATTAATTCATGACCTGGGCTCAGGTTCGGGTTCTCCTTGGGTACTTTCTTTGTATCTTTAGGACCCCGTGGAAGAAATGTTGTTTCTCTGGGGATGGGGAATACATAGTAGCAGGTTCAGCTCGGCAGCATGCCCTGTACATCTGGGAGAAGAGCATAGGCAACCTGGTGAAGATTCTCCACGGGACGAGAGGAGAACTGCTCTTGGATGTAGCTGTGAGTAGAATAAGAGGCTGCTGTTTTTACTTACATAATACAGAAAATTTTGGATCTATTCTTAGAGCTCATTTTCTTTTCCTTCATTAAATTTAGTGGCATCCTGTTCGACCCATCATAGCTTCTATTTCTAGTGGAGTGGTGTCTATCTGGGCACAAAATCAAGTAGTAAGTATTTTTCTGGTTTAATTACTTTGAAACAAGATACACTTTTTTTTTTAATCAAAGAATTTTACAAATAGTAAGCTAAAAATTACCTTATATACTTTTTTTGCTTATGATTCTTGTAACCTAATTAAATAGGTTTAGTGCATCTACCTTTGCTTTATTTTGATGGGATGGTCTTGGGCCAAAGCCAATTTATTAGCTCTCTTTCCAGTGAAAGCGTCTAGTGGACTTTTAGTTTCATTTTTCTGTTTCTTATCTGAGATAGATTTTCTTTTGCTTTTCTTGTTTTTATCTTAGTTTCTGTTTTACATTTAGTTTTATTCTGAACACCTTGAATTATATGTGTAATTGGTGTATTCATAAGAAAATGTAACTCAGAATTACATCTTAAAAATATTGAAGATGGCAGTTATTTATGAAAGAACTATAGTAAATAATAACTTGGAATGTTTAAAATAGGAAATACCTTAAGATAGTAAAACCTATAGATGCCTAATTTTTATTATCTGCCAAATTTGATCTCAGAATTCTGAGTCACTTTCATGTTAAAATGTTTCATTTATATCATTAATGTCTAGATTATAGACTGTTGCTTTCTCATATATTTAAGCAGTATACATTTTGTTTTTGTGGCCTAGGAAAATTGGAGTGCCTTTGCACCAGACTTCAAAGAGTTGGATGAAAATGTAGAATATGAGGAAAGGGAATCAGAGTTTGATATTGAAGATGAAGATAAGAGTGAGCCTGAGCAGACAGGTAATATTTCTCAATTGCAGATAGTATTTCCCAAAGGAGAAATGATTGCTTTATTCATTATTCATTCTTAATTTACGTTGGAAATTTATTTCATCACTTAATCTAAAATGTCACTTTTTTCTTACTAAGGCATTGTGTGAGGGCTTACATGGGTGTTATTACTAGGGTTCAACAACTCTCAACATTTTACTTTGTATTTCCTGATTAATTGCAGATGATTACCGTATTTGCCGGCGTATAAGACGATTTTTTGGCCCTGAAAAATATGCCTCCAAGTGGGGGGTCGTCTTATACGCCAGGTACACTTCAGATAGACTGCCCATAGTGCTTGCCCCGTGCCATAGTGGCCTCCCGATGCCCGCCCACTTCATTCCACATACCGTTCAGGCATCAGCAGCGCTGCTGGGTGTATGCTCGGCTGTTATGCGATTTTGCTGTTATGCGATTTTACCACACTCGCAAAATCGCACACAGCCGACCATACACCCAGTATGATAGCGCAAAATCGCGAATCGCGATACCATACTGGGTGTATGGTCGGCTGTGTGCGATTTTGCGCTATCATGGTGCCTGTTAGAATGTTGAAGAGCTCGCACTTGCGCACTAGTGAGGTCCCAGGGAGATGCTGATGCAAGGGTGGACCAGACTGCTATAGTGACAGGGCGGGCAAACAGGGAGCAGGGACCAATCAAATCAGGCTTTGTATACAGCCAACAGCCAACCACAATACTGCACCATTGTACAGTACAGCATAGAAAATGTCGACCAGTCAAACCCCTATCATCCCTATCATGGCACCAGCCAAAAGAAAGAAGTATGATGCAAATTTTAAACTGAAAGTTATAAACTTTGCTAAGGAAAATAATAATTGTGCTGCTGCAAGACAATATGGAGTAACAGAAAAGATGGTTCGGGACTGGAAATCAAATGAGAAAGCATTAAAGAGTATGCCAAGGGGTAAGTGTGCATTAAGAAGAGGCACCCCACACTGGCCAGAACTCGAAAAACATGTAGCAGACATGGTGGCTCAACATCGCCAAAACGGTTATGTGGTGACACGAAATACAGTACGCTTGTTTGCACTTCGGTGGGCCAAATCAAATCTGATATTGTTTTACCTTTTATTTGGTGTGTGGAAGGTGTGCGGAAGAGGGGGTAGTCTTATACGGCGAGTATATAACAAACTCTGTATTTTGAGTGGAAATGTTAGGGGGTCGTCTTATACGCCCAGTCGTCTTATACGCCGGCAAATACGGTAAGTGAGGGTTTACCTGCAGCACTTAACAAAGCACTCACACATGCTGGGTGCTCAGCTGTGTCACGTATTGTCACTCCTTTGTCAGTAAGGTGAAGGTAATGAGCATGGGCTGTGGAGCCAGACTGCCTTGGGCAAAATACTTACTCTTTAAACCTGAGTGTCCTCATATGTAGAATAATGGTAATAATAGAACCTGCCTTTGAGGGTTGTGGGGACTACATGAGGTAACTCCAGTAAAGCACTCAGTAGTGCCTGGTGTGATAGGCATTCAGATGTTAATTCCTGTTGTGATCATGATCACTGATATTTCTTGTCTTCAGAACTTACTGATAGGAAGTTTCTTGAGAATAAAGATTTCTCTTTTTATCCCCATGGTGTCTAACCCAGGGCTTTCTATCTAATAGAGGTTGGAGCGTGCGAATGCTCAGCCTGCCCAGTTGGCACTGTCGGTAATTGAGGCCATAGATCATTGACTGTTGGGCCCCTTGATGGTGCCAGGAATCGGAATTGGGATTGAGGTTGGTTCTTTCTAGCTTGGAAGTGCTGGTTCCCATTTTGTGATACTAGATAACTTGGTGCCTCATGTGTCTTAGGAGGCCCACCAGGAGTGCAGCATGTTCTGGACTGTGTTGGTATTACTGGATTATGGTCCGTGAAGCCTTCCCAGACTTTCACATAAGTTGTTCCTTCATTCATCTTCTTAGCACATTGCACATAACCTTTACTGTAGCACTTACTGTGTTGAATTGAAATGATCCATTTATGCCTGTCTCCCCAGTTAGACTATGAAGCTTCTACTGAAGAACTGTTCACAACTTTCTTGGTCATCACTCTAGACCCCGTGCCTAGCACATGGTGGAAATTCAGCACATGTTTGTTGAATTATTGAATAAAATTAACTGTTTGGTTTTCTTCCTTTGTTTCTTCTGAATTTCAGTTTATGAAAATCATACCTCTACTGTGTTTCTGTCCTGCAGGGGCTGATGCTGCTGAGGATGAAGAAGTAGATGTCACCAGTGTGGACCCCATTGCTGCCTTCTGTAGCAGGTGAGCTGGCGAGGCCAGGCCTCGGGGTGTGCGCGCCTTCTCTTCACCTCTGGTTTGGACTTGTCAGTTCCTTGGCTCGCCCTTTAGTCTCATCTGTCTTAGTTTTAAGAGATAGCTGCTTTGGTGTATAAGAAGTCCCTTTCTCCTGTGTAGAAAGTCTTAAGACACTGAAAGAATTCATTTATACCATTTTATTTTACTACTGATTTTATTAATCATGTCGTCTAATTCCCTTTTATTCATCTTGGCTTTCTTTCTTTTTTTTTTTTTTTTAAGCTGAGCCATCCTGCCACCTGTTGGCAGCTCAGCAGCTGCTCAGCTTGAGCCCACAATCAAACCTCTGTTGCTCAGAGCTTCAAACTCTTGAGCGAGCTCTAACCAACTGAGCCGCTCGGCCGGCCCCTGAATCTTGGCTTTCTTAAAGTTTTAGATCTATGCCTGTTGCTTATGGGTAATATAGGTGATTCTGCTCTAGAGGAAGGGTTCATGGTTTAAGCAACTGTCTCTTTTTTCCAATCCCTTGTCTGATCCTGTTCCAAATAGTGATGAAGAGCTGGAAGATTCAAAGGCTCTATTGTATTTACCCATTGCCCCTGAGGTAGAAGACCCAGAAGAAAATCCTTATGGCCCCCCACCGGATGCAGTCCAAACTTCCTTGATGGACGAAGGGGCTAGTTCAGAGAAGAAGAGGCAGTCTTCAGCAGATGGGTCCCAGCCACCTAAGAAGAAACCCAAAACAACCAATATAGAACTTCAAGGAGTACCAAATGATGGTAAGTGAGGGCCACAGCTTCCCTCTGCCGCCTGATAGACACCACTTTTTATCTCCAGCACAGCCTGGTCATTTCCTGTTTGAGTGATTTTTACCTTAAAGGAATTTTCCTAGGAGTCTTTTTATAGTGCTTTACAACTTTGTAATGATTTCATGTGCTTTCTCTTCTCTTTCAGAATGGGGAGATTCTGCCCTTAGTACTTTGCCTAAGTTGACACACTTTAACCCTTCTGACACCTGGCTCAGTTTGTCTCATTATGCCACTCTTCCCCCCCCACCCCCCGAGATTTTATTATGCGGTAAAGTACTAGTCAGACTAGGACAATCCTTTCATTCTTCTACCTACTTTCACAGTCTGACTCTGGACGCCTCTAATCATGGGGTAGAGTCCGGATTCTTACCATTTCCTTTCTGTTCTCACATGACGTCGTGCATGTGTGCGTTCCTGCTCTGCCTCGGCGTGCTGAGTGCCAGTGTGTCCTTCAGCCACGTTTTCAATTCAGAGCCGCTGTGGCTTGCTGTAAACCACATAGGCCGCGTGTGCCCTTTGGCCAAGCAGCTATTTCTTAATTCCGTTCTTCTATAGTTTTATGAATAACAAACAAAGCAAAATTTCCTCCTTGTACTAGTGGGCCTGGGGCACAAGGACAACGTTCTTGGCTCGTGGGTAGGTGGCATGCCTTGTGCCTGGTTGGGGTGATGGGACTGGTGGAGTATGGATTCCTTTCCATGCCTGTCTGTGCTTTTACAGAAGTCCATCCACTACTGGGTGTGAAGGGGGATGGCAAATCCAAGAAGAAGCAAGCAGGCCGGCCTAAAGGATCAAAAGGTAAAGAGAAAGATTCTCCATTTAAACCGAAACTCTACAAAGGGGACAGAGGTTTACCTCTGGAAGGATCAGCGAAGGGTAAAGTGCAGGCGGAACTCAGCCAGCCCTTGACAGGTAAGGACACATTGGGAGCACTGCCTGGCTTGCTTCGTGGCCTTGCTTTGTACAGCCCATGACTCGGTTTAACTGCAGCATTTATTTCCTTCTTTCCCTCCTTTTTCCCAGTGGCAAATATTCTCTTGAGTTTTAAGCTGCTGACAAGGGCAGGCTAAACCAGATTTGGCTTAATTCAGTGGCTCTTAACCTTGGGTCCATAAATAGGCTTCAGGGGCCTGCATTCCCTTGATACTATATGCAAAATATTGTGTAAATATTTTTGTGGGGAAGATGCCATACCTTCCATCAGACTCCTGTCGGAATCCATGACCCAAAAAAGGGTAAGAACCTCTGGTTTAATTCATGTCTTCATCTATATTTGCTCCTAGGTGTTTTATTTTGGTTTGGTTTGCCTCAAAGGGCCAGATAGATAACCAGAAATATAACTTGCTTTATATAGGCGCTTCCTGTTTACCTGTAGCATCTCTTCTCTCTTTCTCTCCAAATTGTTCAAATCCCAGAGGTTTTTCTGTCTCCCAGTAGTCTAGAAGCAACAGTGAAGTTGGTAGAACCATCACGTTAAAAAAGATGAGGGGTTGTTTTTGAAACAGGAGGAGATTACCAAAAAGACAGAAACTACAGTACCTGTGTAGCTTCTTAACACCTAAGCCTTTTGAAACTTACTGAGTTTTCTCACTTTTATAGTGAGGGATTTTTATTGGGAGACGGAGAACATTTTCCATTTCCTATCAGAAATTTGTGAATCTAGGCTAAAGGGTCTCTTGTTTAAAAACTAGTAATCAAATTAGAGTCCATTTCTATTCAAACATTGTTGAGTTTTGGAAACTTTTTGTTTTATATACAAGCACTGTTTTAGTTAATACAGTACTCTCAATTTTCTGTGGTCAGTGTACTAAGAGGTTGGACTGATAAAATATCCGGTTGTATTCAGGTGTCCCCCTGCCTCCTTTATTTAACATTTTAATTTAAATGCATGTGATGTGATGCCCTAGCATGTGAAACAGAATTCCTTGTTTAAGTTACTCCTTAAGTCAGTTAATCATGTGAACATGAATTTTGCAGAAAAGCTGAAGCACACACAGTTCCTCATGAGTGTTCTGCCTCAGTTTGCTAGATGTAGTTTTTCACAGCCCAACACCATACCATTGAGCACCAGCATTGTTTCCCACAACAATATTTGCGGTGCCACACTGATAATCAGTTAGCACCTCCACTGTCATTCCACTTAAGGCTGTGTCTTTATGTACTTTAAAATAGTCTGGAAGAGATATGTGGACATTGCCAACAAAGATTGCAGATCAGTAATAGACTCATGTAAATAAAAACGATTCTTCCATTACCCACTTCTTGTTCCAAGCTGATGCCACTACAGAAGAAATACAGTTTAAAGTTTAAATAGATTTCGCTGGCCCAGGGAGCTAAAATGCTTTAGGGTGACTTAACATGTGGTTTAAACATATTGAATTAATTGAAATGCTCTAGGACATAGTCTCCTAGCTTCTTTAAAACCTGTCTGTAATTAATCATTGGCTTTATAATAGTAAATGTATGGTAAATAAACCATATAAAGTTTTTGAAAACTCACATTTTTCTCTCTGTGATTTGAACTTCTAATTTTTAATTGATGTGGTCAATGACAGCAGCTAAATTATCTCTGACATTTGCCAAACTAGGTTTCTGTCAAAGGCTCCATGAAGTATTGTTAGGTTTTATGGCTCAGAGTATGGCAACTGTGCTTTTAAAATGTTTAAATAAGAGTCAAAATCAAAATATTGGAAAGTTTACTCAGCCCTAAAGGAATGGGCCTTTTTAGTCACGAAATTTCTCAAAATACTAAATATAGTTTGCAGTGAAATTTTGAACTATATGTCGAGTACATATTTTACTATTGGTACAAGTCAGCATTTCAAAGCTCCTTAAGAATAAATACCATTATCAAGGGCCTGATAAACGTTTGTTCCCATTTACTTTGCCGACAAGACTTAAAGGAGTTGCCGCCCTCTTTAAAGACTAGAACCTATATCTTGGAATAGCAGGGTGCTTCATACTGGACTTTTATTTTCTACATTATTTTCACTAGGCCCTTGAGTTGGTCAACCTTAAATAGAGGCAACTATTTTAACAGCCCCACCCTTTAAAAGGACTAGAGGAGACTTTCACAGAGTAGGGCCAGGGTGATGATACATTTTCTGACAACACGCAGACAAAAAAGCTGGGTAGAGTGCTGCAAACATTTCACCGACTCCTCACAATTGTGTGCATGCACATTTCTTGTCATCTGTACCTCCTTTTGCCTATTTTCTCCCTTCTCTGGCCTTGGTGCCTTGACCTTTTTCTGAATGAAAATTCTCAACACTGAAATGGCCAGATGAAACGCCAGCGTGTGCTGAGCAGCAGGATCATTAAAAACCTTCAAGGGACATTATGGTTTGTACCCAGCTTTATTGACTAGCTGCGGTGTGGTGTGGGTCTTTGTGAAGGCTGCTGCAACTCCTCACAAGGGAGACTGGTGAAACTGGACCTCACAGATAACTCCAGCAGAAATCTTAGTTTCAGGACAACCCATCATATCTTCTGTGTGGAATTCTTTGGGGGAGGGTGGGGCTTCATCCAATACCATGAGCAGCTTGGAGGGCCCAGAGTAGGCAAAGGCTGGAATCGGGGCTACAGAAAATTCTCCCCTCTCAAACAGCTCATTAGTATTGGATAGGACCAGCAGACCCACATCCATGAAGACACACTTCTGTGATGAGTGAGGACCCATCAGTGAAGCTTGGTGAGGGTGACCCTGAGCTTGGGACTTTTGGGAAAGGCCAGATCAACATTGTCAGGTTCCCTACTTAGTCCTCAGATCAGAAACTTGAGACATGAGCAGAACCACCAGTATCCCCGTTGCCCTGTGACTGCCCAAGAACTAGGGCCCCTTGGTAGTAAACATCAGTAGCAAGTGTGACAGAGTTGCGGTCTGTCACACACATGATCTAAAGGCCTCGTGACGTGGACATGAAGGGGTTGGTGTACACTGGAGTCTGTTGGGGTAGCAAAGACCAAAACAGGCAGAGACGCCGTTTTTGGGCGGGCAGGCACCTCGAAGACTCCCCTGCATCTGGCCACACACTGCCCCCGAGGCCGGCCCACACCCCGGGCTTCTGAACCACCTCCTGAATCTGTGATTTTTTTGAATGCTTGGTAGTAAGTGTGAGTTTTCCTTCTCCTCTTCTTCCCTTTTTAAAAACTGATCGGTCAGTCAAAGACTAATACATGAATTTCCTGCTAAAATCAGATGGCTAGTTGGATATTCTTTCTCATTCTTTGTGATCTTGTTAGCTGACTAAGGTAATGATTGAAAATCAATATCCAGTAGTATTTTCTTAGGCCACTCAGCCTTAGGCTGCTATTGGAAGGTGCTAGTAGCAGCTGTTCACCACGAGCTGAATTTTTCTTAATTTTATATTACCATAGATTGCCTTTATGTTGCAGCAAAATAATGTGTATCCTTGGGGCAGACTTTTAAATAGTCCAGAGGTCTTCTCGTGTCCTGCTGTTTCTCTGTGTCTTGTCTTGCTCATAGTATTGATTGCTCTGGTTTTGGTTTTCGTGTTGGGATTTAGGCTTAAAATGTCAATGTTGTGTTCATTTTTAAACTTTTAAAACTAGATTGGCTAGGATACCTGAGGGGGCAGTCAGCAAAACCAGCCTGAGGGTGTTAAAGGCCTGATAGTGAGTCCTGTTGAGGAGCAGAGTCTTCTATCTAAAGATTTAAAAAAAGCAACTCAGGAGATTAATTATTATGTTTTATGTTGAGAGGGAGCTACATTAACAGGTGCTAAATAAACTTTTTATCTTACTGAACTATATAAAGTTTAAATTTGATTTTTAACAATGTAGCATCCAGGAGAGTTTGTAATTTCAGTCTGTTCAGGCAAATGGGAATATATTTTTTTATTGCCAGTTTTCAACTGTGCTTGAACCTTTCCTTTAAAAATCAAATTAAAAGCAAAGTTTACAAATGGGTACTTTTCTTTCATAACTTGTGCAATTATTTTTTAACCATTTAACCTTCAAGTGGCATGTTCTCCCTCATTCCCATTGGCCTCTGGGAGGATTTTCTTCACCTTGTTCTCTTTTTTACACTTCCTAGTTAATATTTCACAGCAGCCCATTTAAGGATGTCCCCCAGAGGTTGAGCAGCTTCTATGGAATAATCAGGGAAGTGTTCATTTGATTTTACTATTGAGGATTTTATTTATTGATCAGTTGTTGGCACTTAGAAATGTCAACAGTAGTTTTCATTAACATTTCATCATGTTTGGGAGTCTAAGGTGATGAGAATGTCACTTAACACACTGTGGACCAGTGACGCAGATTTGCATCTATACATTTAAATGCCCCGTCCTCAATGTGTTAAGGAACAGGGGTGCTTAGAAAAGAGTTTGTTGCTCACTGTTAATTATTTAGTGACTAATCAGTCTAATATATGAAAGATTAGAAGGTGTAGTACCCTAGAATTTCCTTTCCTTACTGCACTTTTTGGATTACAAGCATTATTTGTTAACACCTTGGAAAATGGTTAATTAATTAGCAACTCAGAAAATGTGTAGAACTCTGATCATTTTGCCTTTTTTCCCCCCTTTGGGGAAGTACTGAGAAAGTGTGGGTTGGGGATGTGGGATTTGGGTTATTCTTTCAATTAATAGTAAGGGGGAGTTGGTTTGAACTTAAGGAGGGAAATTCTTAGCTCATGTGTGCTTGTCATGAATCATCTGGCATCCATCAGGATTTCTGTTTTCGTAAGAACTGGTCTAAGTTGATGCTAAAAGAAATCTTTTTGTGTCTAATCTCTTTAGCAGGGGGAGCAATCTCCGAACTGTTATGAAGACCCTTGAAGTGCTTCGTTCTGCCCCACTTTTCCATCATGTGGCCTCTGGACACTGTGGTCAGTCATTTGAGATTGACTTTAATTTAAAGCAAAGGCATCTGCTTCTCACCCAGGAGGTGGAAGGAGTGAATTTTATGTTTGAATGAAGAAGTGAATTATGAAAGAAGAGTATACGTCCCTTCCCTTTCAAGCATAAGTCCAAATAGGCTCTCAGGAATGAGGATTTGTGAAGACATCGAATGGGAGTTTGACTGATTTAAACTTTAATACTGAGTTATGTTGCTGGAGAAAAGATACCTGTTTTGCTCATCTGATTTTATTGTACCCATCATCATTTTGACCTGTCATTTCCTGTCTCCTCTATCTGCCTTCCATCCTCAGTGCTTGTCTTTGAGTGACTTGTTCTTACTGAAATTCTGCTATCCGTATCCTAGAAAACTTTGTTGCATATTCTTTCTTCCATTTTGAAACTTACCCTCTTACCAGATACATCCTGTATTTCCATATTGTGGACAAACAATGGGCAGAAAAGAAAGTGCTTGAAAGATTTGAAATTTTCGGAAACAGTAGAAAGATTAGAAAGGCCCCTTCTTTCTAACATACCCCATTTTGCTCAAGAAGCTGGGCTGCAAGAGGGTCAGGGATTTTCTCTTCCTTTGATTGCATGTTTCCCTCCAGTATTGGTTCCTTCTCATTACTCATGGTTTTTAAAGATGGTTTCATCCGTCTCCAGCAAAGAATCATCAATAGTTTGCATTGTTTTATCTGTGCTGGCTTCCAGACATGGAAACAAACCAAGGTGTCTCAACAAGCTTCTTTTTTATTGGGGTGGGGGAATCTATGCAAGGACTAAAGTAAAACCATCCAAAATCAAAGCAGCAACAACACAGTTCAAATCACAGATCAAGGAACAAATTTTTTTTTATCGTTGCATGTGGATATCTGTCCTTCCATCAGTCATTGTAGTTTTCCATTCTCATATCTATACTTCTTTTCCTTACATCTTTCAGTCACTTCCTTTCTGTGAAAGGTTGCTTAGCTTTTAAAAAAATTTTTTACTTTTTGCTTTTGCTGTTCTTTTATATAAAAAGTAGCAGGTTGGATGGATATGTACATTAGGTGTTTGAAATTATCTGAAAATCCAAGTAAAGAAATAAAGTGTGGGGTGGGCTCACTAGCCTCTCTGAGTAGAACTTTTAGCTGACCAGAAGTGCTTAACCTGGATCATCGTTTTCACAGTATTCTCAAAGGAGAGTTTAAACACTGTGCTTATTGTGAAATCTCTTATCAGCTAGTGGGTGCTCCTACAGGTAGCCAAACAAGCTGATTACCTTTTAGATTTTAGGGTTGAAATCAAAGTAGAACATATCAGTAAGAGCCTCTTTCTCCTATTCCACCTTGTAGCACCAGAATATTCAGTAGTTGAAGTGAGAGCTCTCTCAGTCAGTTGCAATATGTCTATATTTTTAGATGCCACTATTTTTTCTTCAAATGCTTATTTTGTGAATTTCATTTAATATATCATCTCAGACCACTGATTGAGATTAGTATGTGGCTCACTAACATTTTTGTTTTGCAGACATAACTTCCATTCCTTATCTTTCTCTACTGTACACTGCAATAGTGTGAAAACAGTGTCATACAAAGGCTTATTTCCATGTGCAAAGTAGCTCGGTGTCTTCTACCTGTGCATTTGGATATTTATGTTGTGTCCATCTCCTAAACTGGCTACTGAGAAAATCAACTTCAGCCCTGTCAGATAGTCTCTGGCAGCAGCTCCTAATAATTATTTATGCTTTTGGAATTTTTTTCAGCTCCTAAAGCCTCTGTCCATTTCAGTTTGATTTTCTAAATTTGTACAATATACACATATTCTCTTCTTCCTATTTGTCATCTCCACCCCCATTTTGTTTTCTAATGTTCTGTAGTTTTGTAAAAGCCTTGGGTACTTCTTGCTGAAGCTTTAATGCTTTGTAAATAAAATTGGATGTTTATTAAAGAAGAGGTGTAGATGTTTTAGACACTGATTACTTCTGACACTCACCAGCCACTTTGCTTTTTATGACAGAAAATGCAGCTTACGATGCTGATGTTAGATCTTTTTGTGTGGTGTACATACAGAGCTGGGATGGATGAGGGTGATCAGGTGGTCCAGATCTCTGCTTCTGGACAAGATTATAAAAAAACAATTCAAGCAAAATGTTGGTGTTAAGTAAAAAAGATCATCTACCCTGTTTCCCCGAAAATAAGAGCTAGCCGGGAAATAAGCCCTCGCATGATTTTAGGTGCCAAAATGTGGCACCTTGGCATACTGAATATTTTAAGCTGATGGAGTTTGTGGAAAAGGCACTCTTCTCCCAGAAACAGATCATAAAACCCTCATGTGAGGGGTGTGTGCCCTCCATATCCTGGAGGGATAATGCTAGGGCTTCTTCTCCGGCTAGGTCCTATTTTCGGGGAAACACGGTAGGAATGATCTCTCTTTAAATTCTTTAACTCAGTGTAAGTGTGTGTAACTACTCTGTTGAGGTCACAATGCTAGCAGGCATCCTGGAGGTTACAAAAATGCATGTGAGGAACTTCCTGCCTTCCATGGTGCTTTCTTTTTTTGTTTGTTTTAAAGCTTTTATTGGGGAATTGACGGGAACAGTTGTTGGGGAATTGGGGAAGGGGAACATTGTGTCTTTCCAGGACCCATCAGCTCCAAGTCAAGTTGTTGTCCTTCAATCTTAGTTGTGGAGGGCGCAGCTCAGCTCCAAGTCCAGTCACTGCTTTCAATCCTGTTGGAGTGGGAGCGGGGAGCGTAGCCCACCATCCCATGCGGGAGTTGAACAGGCAACCTTGTTACTAAGAGCGTGCGCTCTCACCAGCTAAGCCATCTGGTCACTCGTTGGCAGCTCAGCGGCAGCTCAGCTCAGGCACAGCTCAGCTCAGGCACAGCTCACGGGCCCATGTGGGAATCGAACCAGCGACCCTGTTGCTCAGAGCTTGCGCTCTAACCAACTGAGCCACCCAGCTGGCTCCCCGCAGAGCTTAGCATGTAAATACACCTCTTTCCTAGATTCCCCCCCCCCCCAGATTAAATAGTTTTAAAACCCATTGAATACTCATTGTCTCCTAAAGAATAAGATGTTTCATAAAGTCTATTTATGTCTTTGATTTTAATCATCATCAAATCTGAGTGAGTGTCTACCTGTTAATCTTTTCTATTATGTGACTGAGAATCCACCTTTGACATCATAGCTGTTTCATAGCAACCTTGGCCCAAGTGCAAGATGAGCTCCTCTGTTCTATAGGGTAAAGGGAGTAGGCCGACAGGCAGGGCGAATTATGCATCCTCTCCCCCAGAAGATATCTCTGGTGGCCTTGGGAAGGAAGAGTGCCTAGAAAGGGCAGAGGAGCTGCGTCTAATATCGCCTGTCTTGCTGATAAACAGCTGGATTCTACAAGGGCTCCTGGCCCTTTATGAGTTTTCATTTCTATTTAAAATTTCTTACACATGAGCAGTGTTTCACACTTTACAAAGTGTTTTCATGCACACTATCATTTGATGCTCAAAGTGACCTGCCTGAAATAGGCAAGGAGGTCTTAATTTACAAAGGAGGAAGTAGAAACAGAAACGCTGGAAGGGTAAGTTACTTGCCTCTCAGTCCAGACTTCTTAATCCTTTTTATAGAAGTTTTAAGAGCATTTAGTTAATAATAATTCAAGTTAATCTTCTCTCTTTTTTTTAAGACTTGGTATTTGATTTCTTACTTGGTCAGATTTAACTGGGGTTTTGAAACCCTTTAAATTAGATCCCACAATTGGGAGGGGAAAAGTCTTAATAGCTTCACTATGCATTCGAGGTAATTTGGAAATTCACTTGAGCTTCTGAAGTCTTTTTGTCTTTCCCAAGAGGTGGATTAAAATTCATTAAAACGATGTGGAAAGAATGAAGACTGGTAAGGTGATGGATCATTAACAAGCAGAGATGGTAAAGCAGCGCTGTTGTGACTTTTTCTTCCTGCTTCGTGTCCTTGCCTGTTACTAGGACTGCATTGTGGTTTACGAAGCGGCAGTGTTGTACTGAGAATGCAGGCATTACATCTTTTGACTTGGAAGGATACCTCATGTCGAAGGAATTGAGTTATGATATCGTAGAGGATTCGATTGGAATACCTTGGGGTGCTGGCTGAAGGTGGTGAAATGTTTGCCAAGACATGAAGAGTTCAGCCACCGGTTTCATTCTTGGGAGCCTGGTATTTGCCATTTATCTGCCTTTCGTGGTGACTTTACCTAAAACACTGGCAATCCCTGAGAAGTTGCAAGAAGCTGTGGGACAAGTTATTGTCAATGCTACAACCTGTACTGTCACCTGTGGCCTTGGCTATAAGGAGGAGACTGTCTGTGAGGTGGGCCCTGATGGAGTGAGAAGGAAGTGTAAATCTCAGCGCTTGGAGTGTTTGACCAACTGGCTCTGTGGAATGGTTCATTTCACCATTCTCACAGGGAAGGAATTTGAGCTGAGCTGTCTGAGTTCAGAAATCCTGGAGATTGGGCAGGACGCTTTCCGGTTCACCTGGAGACTTGCTCGGGGTATCATCTCAACTGATGATGAAGTCTTCAAGCCCTTTCGAGCCATTTCACACTTGCTGAAGTTTGAATCTGCTCAGGAGTATGACTCTGGGACCTACCGGTGTGATGTGCAGCTGTTAAAAAATTTGAGACTTGTCAAGAGGCTCTATTTTGGGCTGAGGGTCCTTCCTCCTAACTTGGTGAACCTGAATTTCCATCAGTCCCTCACTGAGGATCAGAAGTTAGTAGATGGGGGCCTGGAAGTGAATCTGGATAACTATTCCAGGCCTCACCGTCCACCATGGAGAAAGAAGGTGGCTATAACCTTGGGAATAGGAATTGCCAGTGGAGTGACTGGCAGCGTGTTGGTGAGCATGGCCTTGTACGGTGGGCTGAAGGTGATCTACAGCCTTAAGACCTAACAGGCCTTGCTCCTGAAGGGTTGGCTGCCTTCATGAAGCCAAGCTGGGTTTTCAAGGGAGTGTCCTGGCTGCCTGATTGTGGATCAGCTAAGAGGCAGGGCTTCCACTGCCAAAAGAGTGAATGGCGGGTGTGGAGAAGGGCAACACTGCAGCAGCTATGGGCAGTCATCTCTTCTTTGTGTTCAGGTGGATCTCTTCCTGACCTTCCCTGCCCACTAGGTATCCAGGGCAGCTGACCGCAGGCATCTCCCCTAGTGCCGGGAAGAGCTCTGTCTTCCAAGCTTGCATTCATTTTCTACCCTTTACAACTTGTGTGTCTCCCCGCCTCCTCCCTTCTGAGCAGCATAATCACGTAGAAGGATATATTAATAATTTTTCTAGTGAAACCATTTTTTTCCTCTTCAATAAAAATAATTGACAGTAGCTGTATGGAGACCTAACCTTTTCTGCTCTTCAGTTAAAAATGTCTTGCATTTGTTCAGATTGTCCCATAATTAGTCTGGCTTTCATCTTCCTCAAATTTCTCAGAATAGACGTTGAACAAATTGCTTCATAGTGGGGCATATGCCCATGTGTGCCAGAGCTGAGGTTGTTAATAATGACATCTGACTCAGTATGTAATAGACCATCACTAAGTGTTCATTTATCTGCCCCTCCCTGTACTCCCCAAGTGAACCCTCTGTGTTCAGTGTTAAATTGATTTCCTGGCAAAACACTGGAGTCCTCTGAACAGTTCCTTGGCTTCTCCCTGCTTCCCTTCCTGTAGCTCTTTCAATGCCCTGAAGCTTGTGTTCCTGGAAAGGTCAATTGTGTTGGTTTCTTATAGCAGCCAAAGCCCCTTAAGGGAGAACTAGTACCTTCCTCCATCCACGGGAAATCCAAGCTGAAGACTCTCAGAGGCCATTCTGTCTGTGTCTGAGGACTTGCATTGTGGAACCATCAAGAAAAAGGATCTTGGTGACCAGGAGCCTGAAAGAGTTAAAGCATTTTCTCTCCTCTTCTCTAGCCACGGAGAAGGTAGCGGAAACCAAGACTTGGACCAGTGGTTCTCTCCTCTAGCTCTGTCTGAATCACCTGGATGAGCTTTGGAAAAATAAGATTCCTGAGCCCCAACCCTGAGGATGCTAATTCATTTTTAATTATGGCCAGTGGAGCGCTATTATTTTTCTCTAAATTTTTAGAGAAATGTGAAACCCATAGAAAAGTTAAAAAATTTTGGTGACACCCATAGACCCCTTTACCTACATTTGTCGGCTATGAACCTTTTGCTACAATTAGCTTTCTTTCCAAATAATTCTGATTTTACTGAACCATTTGAAAGCAAGCCATAAAGATTGTGTTCCTTTAGTCCTAAATCATGTATGTTTCTCCTAATAAGGGCATTCTCCTGTGTAACTTCAGTGTCTCCACTGCATCTAAGAAAATGAACAATTCCCTGACATATAGTTGATATTTTGTTTTCGCCAGTTTCTGAAATCTTAGAGCTTTTTAATTTTTTGATCCAGCATCAAATGAAAGTTAATACATTACATTTGGTTGTTTTTCTTACATCTTATTTTACAATACATTGGCTGCTATTTTTGTTGTTTTTCATGATATTGATTTGATTGAAGAGTCTAACTAGGTCAGTTGTCTTGGATAGTGTCCCACAATCAGGACTGGTCATTATTCCCTAATAATTAGGTTCTGTGGAATCAATCTTAAACATTGTGACAAGAGCCCTACATAAATGATGGTAAGGACTTATTGCTTCATCTCAGGAGGCACCTGATGGCAGGATGACCCGCTATTGATGATAGATCTCCCCAAAGGTACATATACATTTTCCTTTTGTAACTAATAATCTGTGAGGTGACTCCATGTGACTATCTGGTTTTCTAAAAACCATTCACAAATGTTTTGGAATCCATTCATGATCCTTGCCTTATTATTACATGTTGGGGATTGCAAATGGTGATTCTTTAAAATTCATCATTTCGATACTTACTAGCCTGTACTTTTCTGTAAAGAAGAGCTACCCTTTATAATGTTTATTTTTGAGTCTCGATGGACTCTCTTTTTTGTTCAGTGAATTGTACTCATATATAATCCGTTACTGTTGTCTTGTTTTTGATGTTCAAATTACCCCCAATTTTGGCCAGCAGGAATCCCTTCAGGCTGGCTCTTTTGTCCTTTTGATGTGATCCATTTGACTTTGAGCATATCATTGCTTTCTAGTACAACAACTCAGATCCACATTTGGACTTTCCTTTCACCAAATCTGAATCTGCTGTTTCTCCAGGGGACCCTGGTTCCTTCTAGTGTGGGGAATAGTACTTGGATACTTAGAAACCAAGGTTTCGGTGCTGGATGTGCTTATTGCCACCAGGGAGTCACTGCTTCTAGGCCCTTTCAGTGTCCTGGATATACACAAATCATGTGTTCAAAGCATCTTCGTTTTGCAGAAGCTTTATAGGTAATTCTGATTTGTAGCAAAGGTTGAGAACCACTGGCCTAGACCCACACACAGGAAGTCTTTACTTATGGCTCTTATTTTGAAAAGATCTTATGTTTTCCACGCCTTTCTCAGAGGGGATGGATTTCAGAAGACCTGGGTTCCGCTTCAGTTTCTGCTGTAGACTGTGTAATGGAGCGAGCCGACTGACCTTTGTAGTCCTCGATTTTGAAACTCATGATTATGAGGGTCCAATGAGATCCTGGGAATAAAAGTGCTTTGTAAACTGAAGGAGTGGACGTGAGTTAGGCAGTGTTGTTAATGCTGCATATTAGTTTAGTACTGGACAATTGGCTGAAGCAGTCAGGAGAGAGCTTGCTATACTTTAAAAGGAGGCCATGAAACGGTATCTTTGTAGATAATTAACTCAGTATTACGTTGTTGGGGGAAGAGGACTGGAGTACAGTTTCCCATTTTACAGATGGAAAGACTGAGACCCAAGAAGAGCGAAATCACCTCTTCAACAAGCCAGTGGCCAAGCCTGGATGGAATATTGTGCAGCTCTAGGCTTAAAGCCCTCTGTGCATTGGGGTCTTGAATGTTGACTGTGAGGGTCTGAAGGGATCGAACAGGGAAGAGAACAAACAGACCCTCAGATGTGTTAGTAAAGACCCAAACTCAGTTCAGTTCATTTGAGTTCTGTGCATGTCATCTGCCTCTGGAGGGTCAGGAAGATGCTGACTGGACTAAAATTTGAGTTCTAGAGTGGCCAGTGCCCACAGCCCCATTGGGTACAAAGTGGAAGGGACAAACTTGTTGTGGTATAACCGCCATCTGTGCTGGCTCCTTCTGGGGGCTCTCTGCCAGCCCAGGCTTCTGCTGAACAGGCCCTGGGGCACATGGCTAAGCTGTAACTAGTGGGGCCTCTGCTTGCGTTGGTCTCCCTTGTCCCTGACAGTGGTTTTGGGCACAGTCAGCATGGAGCCCCACCTGCTTTGCACCAAAGGAATAGAACACTTAACAGGGCTGAACATGTCTCAGATGTAACGGAAGTTTGATAAATGTTTGTTGAATGTATGAGAGAATGTTTACAGCTAGAAACTGACTAGGAATTCAAATTCTTTTGGCTGCTGTGAGCAGAGACTAGAGGCACCTTTTCACCAGGTGGTGGTCACTATATGTGCAGGGAGAAGACTTCCCTTTGGTACAATTGAGTCAATACCTCCAATGTCTTAAAAATCAGGGCACCTTGAAGGAGAACCAACACTCGAGCACTGTTTACTGCCCTTTGTGTTAATAAAGGCAGCCCAGTCTAGCACAATGCCTGCGTGTACATGGCTTAGGCCTGCCTTAAAGTCTCTTGGGCTGATTTCCCGCCCCCCCTGTCCAGGACTGAATGAAGCAATATAGACTGTACGAGGTCTGACAATTAAGTTCGCAAACTTGCCACCATGCGCTTACATTGGCAGCCCTGTACAAAGAGCTCGGTAAGGTTTCGTATCCTTGGTAATCAGTGTCTCACAGCTGTGTTCATGTTGACATGTGGTGGAGTCTTGCTGAGTGGCTTTCATTAATGTTGTGTGTTTTTGTGTGCCGTCGCAAGAATGTCTGAGCTTGAATTAAAGCAATGAACAAACATTAAATTTCTTGTTAAACTTTGCAAGAGTGGAAGTTAAATCAGGGACATGTTAGTCCAAGTTTATGGGGATAATGTCATGAAGAAAACGGCAGTGTACAAATGGATTAAACATGTTTCTGAGGCGAGAGAATGCATCACTAATGAAGAGAGGTCAGGGCGGCCAGTAACGAGCAGAACTGACGAAAACATTGCAAAAATTCTTCAAATTGAATCATTGTCTGACTGGGAGAAGCATAGGAGACCAAGTAAACATAGATAGAGAAACAGGAAAATCTTAACTGAAAATCTTGGCATGAGAAAGGTGTGTGCAAAAATGGTTCCGAAGGAGCTCACCAATGAACCAAATGCAAAGGAGAGATGAAGTCTGCCAAGACCTTTTGGAGAGGCAAGACGATGTTTTGGGCCATGTTATCACTGGTGATGAAACATGGGTGTACCATACGACACTGAAACAAAGCATCAAAGTGCACAGTGTAAGTCAGCCAATTCTCCATGACCAAAAAAGTTCTGTCAGCTCAATCAAGAGTCAAAACGATGTTGCTAACCTTTTTTGATATCAGAGGGATTATTCATTATGAATTTGTTCCAATTGGACAAACAGTTAACCAAGTTTACTATCTAGAAGTGCCGAAAGGCTGCGTGAAAAAGTTAGACGTCCTGAACTTTTTGCCAACAATTCATGGCTCTTACATCATGACAGTGCACTAGCTCACATGGCACTGTCTGTGAGGGAGTTTTTAGCTAGTAAACAAATAACCGTATTGGAACACCCTCCCTACTCACCTGATCTGGCCCCCAATGACTTCTTTCTTTACCCAAAGAGAATGGAAATAT